TTCAAACCCAATCGCAAGAGACCGTTTAAGGGAATTCCCTTGTGGTTTGCGCGCGGCGCCGTGTGGGGCTTGCGGGGGTGGCGCGGTGCCTTCGCTGGCTTGGCTGCCGGGAATGCCAAAATGCAGAGCGCGAGCGCACAAGGAAGGCCGAAGGGAAGGCCAAAGCTTCGCCTTCCCAATGCGAGCGCTGCAGGCCCAGAGCCCTAGCTATAGTTGGCCTGCTCCCCCACATCCGTACCAAGTATCGTTCTTCACCAGAGCCGCCGCGTGAAGGAGAGCCGCGGCCCAAATTTCGTTTCACGTTACACCAGAAGGTCACCGGCAAGGCTGGAGGAAAGCACCCCCTCACGAAATACAAGCGCACTGGTGGACCCACCAAAGCGATCCAGAACCCGGAAAAGTCACACAGAGACCTCTCAAGCGAGACGGGTGAAGCTCCCGCTTTGAACGCTGCTGCAATAAAACAGGAAGAATGCAACGAGGCATTATCACATATTCCAACGTCTTGGGGAGAGGGGGCGCCTATCACAACAGGGGCGCCAATAAAGCGCACTGGGAAAAATGCACTTCCACCAGGGCGGCGGGGAGAAAAAAAGCACACGGCGTGCTTGAAAGAGCCCAACCGCATAGTCGCTCTTACGTCAGATTTCTGGGGGTTCGTTTGGTTGAAAAGGGATGCCCACAAATGGGAAACACTGAAGGCGACAGGGTTAGACCCGTGTGGGCGTGCCCCCGCTGGCTTTGCATGCCGGGCGTGCGGGCATCGAACGCCGCCGCAAAAATCTCCAACAAGGCGCCGCAGCGCCAGACACGGATTCGGGCCAGGCGCCGTGAAGCCGGGGCGGCCCGCGCAATGCGAAAGAAGAAAGGCGCACTTACTCAGCTGCCGCGCCCTGAAGGGCATGTGGGGGCAGATTGCTGCATGCGAAGGGGGTGTAAAGAATCTGTGCTTTGCAAAAAAACTTGCCCAGCGCTCCCTTTTGGTGGGGAGGCTTGGTCCTCCAAAACCTTCCCCCGCGGGCGTGGC